ATGGACAGGACCAGGCAGGCAGCCTCGGTGGCGGGGGGGGGGGGGACGAACATGACCATGGTGTCATTGCAGTCGAACGGGTCCGACATGAGGAGCATATCCTTCACATGGACCGATGTCGCAGAGAAGGCCACAAAGTGGGTCCCCGGAGTCTGAGGCGAGAGACGGGCCACACGCTCCAGCACATCGGCCACTGTGGGACTCGTTGTGAACGTAAGGCTCAACTAGAGAGGAGGGATTCCAAAACAAGGAGACAGATAAGTCAGGGGGAGGGGGGAAGCAGCTCTCGTGTGGCAGGCATTTGAGGACTTTCGAGATATGAAGAGAGGAGGAAGGGAAGGAAGAAGCAACGCCCCGAGACACACCTTTTGAATGACAGCCTGCTCGCTGGGCTGCGAGTCGAGATCCCCGCAATACCGGAAAGCCGTGAAATCGGGCGTGTCACCGGGAATATTGTCGTGAAGGAACTCCTCGATGATTGGCCGACGCTTGACAACACAAACCGGCACCGAGAAGGACACGACCGGCACCGAGAGGGAAATGTACGGATCGAAGGTGATGGACTTCTGATGGCAGGTGTTGCAGACGATTTCCGACTTGTACTGCCCCTGGAAGAGATCCATGATGGCGGACTTGTTGCGCTTCTCATAGGCCTCGAGGAAGGCAGCTGCCAGCTCCTGTTGACGGATGGGAGGAGGGAGGGAGATCGCACGCAGGCAGGCAGAAAGGATGTCAGCTCGCCTCAACCGGAAGGAATCATCCTGATAGCACAAAGGGAGAGAGAAAGAGAGAGAGAGGGAGAGAGAGAGAGAGAGAGAGAGGGAAGATGGGTCAACGCGCACCTCATCAGGCTGGCCAGTGTAGGAGGGGTTCTCCACGAAGGGCTTGTTCTCGATGCGGTTCAGGTCCTCGTGCAGGCCATCCAGCAGATACTGCAGGAACTCCTGCGAGTCGTGCTGATCGTATCCGGCAAATTGGAACCAGCAGCGGCCAACAAAGCTCTTGAAATCCCGGGGAGAGACGCTGCCACCATCCTTGAGCCACATCTGCTTGAGAAGAGACGCGAAGTTCCGGGCCAGATCGCCCTTGAACCCGATCGGATTCGTTTCGTTGATA